ATAAAAGTGGAGAGCATAATATTGTATGATCAAAAATTTTGGAAAGTAATCAAGTATTGCTTAAAATCTGTGATTCCACTTGTTAAAGTGTTGAAGTTAGTTAATGGTGATGCTAAACCGGCCATGGGATATATATATGAAGCAATGGATAAGGCCAAGGAACAAATTGCCCAAAATCCCATGGCCCTATCCATTGCCCAAAATTCCATGCTAAACCGACCATGGATATATATGAAGCAATGGATAGGGCCAAGGAACAAAATCCCATGACCCTATCCATCATCTAACTTCAACACTTTAACAAGTGGAATCACAGATTTTAAGCAATACTTGATTACTTTTCAAAATTTTTGATAATACAATATTATGCTCTCCACATTTTTTGCATAAATCTTTGAAACAAAAAGCCCATTAGCCCAATCTTTCGATGAAAACATGCGTCGAAGACAAGACTTCCTATCATCAAAACTTTTTAGGGGTGAGAAATGCAATGACAAATCTTATAACCGCCAGTCATGTCAATTTCATATTGTTCGAAAACTCTCTAAATTTACTAAGCACCCAAGTATGCCAATGAATGAAAATTGTAACTTCTTTAGCTTTTGAAATTGTGTCATGAAAAATCGACAAATCACCAATATCACTCAACATCAAATCAATGCAATGAGCGGAACAAGAAGACCAAAGTAACTTCTTCCTCTTGTCCTCCAACAACCTATCGGCGGTTATATAAACCGAAGTACTATCTGTCAACATTTGAACCACGTTCTCCACTCCAATCTCCTCCACTATTGAGTCAAGTAACGCAAACAATTTATTAGCATCCTTTATAACCTCGAAAGTATCCACCGATTTAAGAAACACCGTTCCAAGCCATTAACAAGAAAGTTTGTGAGTGAAAGTTGTTTCCCATCGGTCCACCCATCCGACATCAAAGTACACCCACTTTTCTTCCATTCCATTATATATTTATCCAAACTCACCTTAACATTTTCCACTTCTTTCTTCAAACAAGTAACTCTAACCTCATGATAGCTAGGGAGTTTTAATCCCCTGCCATATTCATCAACCGATGGCATCATCTTATCAAACAATGGACTTTTAACTAAATTGAAACCTAGTGCATGTCCATAGAAGAAACGGCATATGTCGTGAATCACTAGTTCTCTTTTCTTCACCAATTCATTTAATGTTTGTTGTCTTCATCTAGCACCTTTCCCCTTGCCTTTAACCACAAAAGCATCCATGGTTCCGGTCCCCCTCTCGACATCTTCTACGAAGCAGTCATTAGGATCCTCATTTTTTTCTTTCTCGTTTTCCAACATTTGGAAGAATTTTTCTGTAGTATCCGGTGGACATTGGGTACATGGTGCTACATCAAGACGAGTCCCTGCAAAATGATGTTTCAGTCTACTCACACCACCCCATTTGTCAAGGCCACAATAATTGCACTTCAAGTGCATTCTATTATCACATCCCATGTCAAATCGTCATTCTTGTTTTATTTTGTTTTTATATTCTTCTTTACCATTTTCAACTTCAAGTCTTCAGCAACAACTGAAAAGAGAAAAAATACAATAGAGCATATAGTTTAAAAATTAAAAATGCATATTTTGAAGCTTGAGTATCATTTGAAAATTGAAACTATAGCAATGAAAAAATCTTCTAACTACATGCCACAACACCGAAAAAAATCCTCTAAGAAACTACAACAACGAAAAAACATAGCATCACTAATTAAAAAAATAGTACAATAGAATAGAGTATCATTTGAAGTTTGAAACCCACAGTTATATAGTTTATACTTTATATATAGAAAACCACATTCATAACTAAATAATCCTCTACCTACAGGCCACAACAACGAAAAAAAAAAGAAAATAAGAAAATAAGAAATTACATTACAACAATGAAAAAACAGAGCATTGCTAATGTGAAAACCAGAGCATCATTTGAAGTTTGAAACCCACATTCATAACTGTAAAATCTCCACCCAAAGGCCCCAAAGGCAATAACAACGAAAAAAAAAAAAAAAAAACTAAGAAACTACAAAAATAAAAAAACAGACATAGCTTATGTAGAAATAGAGCAATATTTGAAGAAGACGTAAAGCCTGCGGTTACTGTTTGGTTGCGGGTAAGAAGAGAAGAAGAGGAGGAAGAGACGCACCTGGAGGTCGACGAAGCTTCAGTCGTGGTGCGTGGGTCTCTTTCAACAGACAACATGAGAGGCAAATTGAGAAAGAGGGAATAGTTATTTATTAGGGCGTGGGTCATTGCAAACGACGTCAAATCGACGTCGTTTAGGTTTAAAAAAAATAGAACAAATTGGATGATACTTCCGATTCGGTTCGTGTGATTCTGTTTCGATTCCAGATCCAAAACAATTCAACCATAAGATTTGACTCGGCCTGCCCATGGATCGAACCGACCGACTAGTACGATTTGACTTGCGAATCGGACGATTTTAACAACTACGGAATGAAGGCCTACCATCATAAAGTAAGGCTTTAATTAGGGAATTTGAAGTGGTCAAGGTGTCCCAGATCTCAAGAGATCATAAAAGTCTTGCCAACGCATTGGCTTGCTTAGCCTTGGTACCGGCATCAAAGATCACTCGAAAAATGATGGTGGAATATTTGCCAGACCCAGGCATCATAGGCTCTGATGCCTAGGGGATACTCCCATTAACACGCAGAACGCCCCTTCGAGTTGGATGGATCTCATCATCAAATACTTGTCGACCAGGGAACTTCCAGAGTGCCTCAAAGAAGGCAGGAAGATGAAACTCAAAACCCAAGGTTCTAGATATCCTCCAATAATAAACTTTATCGAAAATCCATCTTGGGAACGTATCTGTTATGGATTCTTGAAGAAGAAAAGATCCAACTACTGTTGTATGAAATCCATGAAGGAATGTGCGGAAGCCACACGGGGCAGCCAATCTCTTGCTCATCGGGTTATTTTCCAAGGGTACTAGTGGTCTAATATGTAGAAGGATGCTAAACAATATGTACAAAAATGTGACAAATGCCAGAAGTTCGCGCGTATCATTCGGTAGCTTTGGGGGGGGGGGACCTTAACTCACTTACAAGCCCTTGGCCTTTTTCTCAATGGAGAGTGGATATAGTAGGTCTGTTGCTAAGAGCTCCTTTGAACAAGAAATTCCTCCTCGTGGCTATAAACTATTTCACAAAGTGGATTGAAGCAGAGCCTTGAAGCCACATATTAGATGCCGACACTAAGAAATTCGTATGGCAAAATATTATCACCTGGTTTGGAATTCCTTGGGCCCTAGTGTCCGACAATGGCACATAATTCAATAGTGGCCCTTTTAAAGAGTTCTGTGTGGGATTTGACAGTCGAAACTATTACTCAACCCAAGCATATTCATAGTGTAATGGACATGCCAAGGTCTCCAACAAGAGCGTTGTAACAAGAATCAAGAAGAGAATAGAAAAAGCGAAGGGCAAATGGACTGAGGAATTGTTCAACGTCTTATGGGCATACCGGACCATCCCACGGACATTCAACTGGGAAAACCCTTCTGCATTGTCCTATGGAATAAAGGCGGTGATCTTCTTGGAGATTGGGCTCCCAATGATACGGAGCCAAGTTTTCGAGTTCGGGGAAAACGACAAAACTTGAGCCAAAGACCTTGACTTGGCCAAGGAAAGGAGAGAGCTTGCGGCCATCTAATTAGCAAGATATCAGGGAGAGTTTTCCAGACAATACTAGAGGAAGGTCCAGACTAGGGGTTTCTAAGTGAGGGACCTACTGCTTCGTAAAGTAGTGGAGGACACTCGAGAGCTAACTAACGGGAAGCTCGGCCCCAACTGGAAAGGACCATATAAGGTCATTACGGTGGGGGACATGGGGTCATACAAGCTTAAAGACATGGAAGGGAAAGACGTCACCCGATCATGGAATGTATCAAATTTGTGAAAATATTATCAATGAATTTCTATTATGACACGGATATTATAAATATGTGACTAGTTCCCATACAAGCTTAAAGACATGGAAGGGAAATATGTCACCCGACCATGGAATGTATCAAATTTGAGGACATATTATCAATGAATTTCTATTATGACATGGATATTATAAACATGCGACTAGGTCCCAATCGTTAGGGGCAAGGCCCCAAGAGGGGTAAGCCTTCACAAATGAAGCACCGCACCGCCTTTGAAAAGAACTTACATAAGCCTCGGGCTTGGTCGTTAGGGGGATGGCCCCGAGAGGATTAAGCCTTCACAAATGAATCATTGTCCCAAAAAAGAATTGACACTAGCTTTGCGCTTGGTCATTAGGGGCACGACTCCAACAGGGATAAACCTTCATAAATGAAGCATGGCCCTAAAAAAGAACTAACATAAGTCTCGGGCTTGGTTGTTAGGGGAACGACCCTGAAAGGGGGTAAGCCTTCACAAATGAAGCATTTTCTTTGAAAAGAACTTATACACGCCTCAGGCTTGATTGTTAGGGGCACGACCCTGAGAGAGGTAACCTTTTACAAATAAAGTACTGCCTTTGAAAAGAACTTACACAAGCCTTGTTATTAGGGGCGCGGCCCTGAGAGGGATAATTCTTCACAAATGACACCGCCTTGAAAAGAAACAACACAAGCCTTGCGCTTGGTCATTAGGAGCATGACCCTGATTGGATAACCCTTCACGAATGAATCACCGCCCTTGAAAAGAACCAACACAAGCCTCGCGCTTGGTCCTTAGGGGCACGACCCCTAGAGGATAAGCCTCCACCAATGAAAATAAACAAGCACTTGAAAATGAACAAATCAATAGAATCGCATTATTAGTGGGATTTCCACCAGAAAGGAAATTGCATAAATAAATCGAGGGCTTTGTGTCCCTCGTAGCATAAAAAAAAAAAGAAGAAAAAAGAACGAAAATGAAAAGGCCTACAAAGTTTTTAAGCAAAACAATAAAATAGAAAATCTCCATAGGGGTCACGGAAGTTCCAATTTTTGGCACCACATTCTTATTCGCCACCGCCTTGAGCACTGCCACGCCGCCTCGCCTTCAAGTCATCTTTGCCATTCACATTGCTGCTGAGATCAACGAACATATCCTCGAGTTTCCTAAACTCCCCAAGGTTCTTGTTGACGTTTAGAATATCAGGGAGTGCGGCATCCCGAGGATGAAGGGGAAGTGTATGGAAGGGAGCTAAAGAGGGGACATCACACTTTTGCCTAAATCCTTGTCACTTACTGGGATTGGCTCATTTGTTGGTGCCGGGTCCCTTGCCACATTCTCAGCCGCTACCTCATGACATTCCTTTACGGGTGGATCTTATTCAGCATCTTGAGGGAGCACCATTCTCATCATCAAATATTAGCTGAGAAATGTGTGGATGTTGCTGGAACAACTTAGACTCGACATACACCCCCACACCTTGTAGAGCCTCATCCCATCCCTTTTTGAAGGACTTGTTCTGACCATAGTAAAGGCCTTTGTGAACTAGTTATAGCATTTAGTTGAACACTTAGAGATGAATGGAGTTCTCTTTGCTCTCAGTGTTCGGTTGAGCCTCAACCAAGCCTTCAACTTTGCTGGTCAGGGCAGCATTGTTGGTTTTTTCCTTCAACAGTTTGGCCTCGACAGTAGAGACCTTCAGTTTGGCTTCCTTCATTCTTCTCTCTGCCTTAGCCTCATAAGCTTTCCTCTTCTCCAGGTTGGAAGAAGGACTGAACATTCGCATTATGAGAACATTGATATGCTTCATTTGAATGGCGAAGGTCTTTTCTACACGGCAATATAGATGTGCTTGTTGAGCTCGGACTAGGCTTCCTTGGCTTTGGTTCTGTAATCCCAGAAATGATCAATGATTACCCCCATCTACTGGCTGGCTTGGAAAACACAAGAACTACCTAAGAACTCGTAGTGATGGGTATGCAACAAGAGAATAGTTCTAAGATACATACCGCCAAGTTGTTCTGAATCACCCCCTGAAGGATGCAATTATTTGAGTGGTTTCGGATGACCATGTCAACTTTGAAATGTAGATCCCCGTTGATTGCCAATGCGATGTCGGTTGTGTTGATGATGGAGTCGGTTAACAACATGGCCTTGTCCTTACGAGTGATCGTTTGAGGGGCCCATTCTTCTGTCTGCTTAGTCTTTCCCTGGCTGGCGCAGGCGGGGTCAGGGGTGAGACAGAGGGGCTTGGGAGTCATGGTGGTGTTTGATCCTGTGTTCTTTGGAAGAATCCTCTTACCTTTTGTCAGTGTTGACCGTGAGGTGGTAGAAGTTTCCTTTAGGGCAACAGAGTTTGCACGAGCGATGGTAAAGGTTGTTAGTGAAGTGGTCGTTGTTGTTGCTATTGTTGAGAGGGAGCGACAACTCAGGAGGTGTCATCGGGTCTTGAGGCAATAGCTCTCTTGGTGGCTACTGTAGCCTCCAAACTCTCGGCGGTGATCTTGGGCAGACAAAGCATATTTGATTCGGAGGGAATGAAGTAGGGGGGGGGAGTGGTTTCGGATTCGCGATCGGGGTCACCTTCTAAGTTGGCTTCGTCGTCGTCTTCTTCTCGAGCAGACCAAATAAAGGGATTGAAAGGTCCAGCAACTTAAGAGAAGAGACACATGAGTAGCCCGAGCAAAGTTGTCCTCTCCAGAATATTTCCAGTCTCGGAAGGCAATCGAGGAACTCAGTGATTAAGCGACCTCCCTTTGTACCCTTCCTCTACATGAAACGAAAGGGGTTAGTATCCTGACACCCTCATTTTCTTAGGGCAATAGAGGCCTTCATGCTTAGGTCTATCACCTGTCTCCCATTTGCCACCGATCAAGATGGGATCCTAGGTATATCCTTTGTTCGAGTCGGGTATGTAAGTCACCAAGTACATAGAGGGGTCCCAGGCCTTGAGGCAATACTTCTTGTTGTTGACTAAAAAAGATCTCGTCTACCTGAGATTGATCCCAAGTTGAAAATTGAGGGCGACTATGCCCATTACTATTCTAAACAAGTTCAAACAACATTGACATCGGAAGAGTCTAAATTGCATAAGGAACTTCAAAAGAAGAGGGGCAAGGGGGAACTTGACAATCCCCCTTCCCCCTCCATGATTACCTTAGTATAGAAGGGCATAACCTTGGGATGCCCTATATCTTCCCTATGGAACTAGGGATCAAAAACTATGGTAAATACAATCTCGGGAATGTAATAGGTGGACCTGAAGCCGTCTAAAAGAGCTTCGGTCACTTGGGTTTTCCTAAGCTTGCCATCTTTTTTGGGTCTACCAATGACCCTAGGATGTTCAATCTACTAGTTCTAGCCATCGGAAACTACAGAAAGGATGGTAGGGAAGAGAGGAATGACAAAGAAGGTTAGGGATCGAGTATACTTACAAGAACTTGGAGTTCAGCTTAGTCTTGGCAAAGAACTACTCGGGAAATCAAGCAGTGTGAGAGAAGGAATCATGTGAAGAGTCTCAAACCTTGGGTACATTCTCCTTTTTATAATACTCAATTTGGGAATGGTTACCGAAGAGACAGGAGCAATTAATGAAAATTCAAAAAATGGTGGCATAAGTGCGTTCCCTAAACTTCCAAGGGCTAAGGCCGAGCAACGAACATCTCAGATTGAGCAAGTATGACCCACAAGGAGACGAACATGTACATGGCCCTTCTCAAGAATTAATTGTCATCGGGGTGTAGGTGTCGTGTAGTGTGCTGATGTGACTGGCAATCATTATCGTCTTGTCAGTAGGAGATTCATAATTAGACGCCAAAAAGCCAAGGCATGACCCTTGCTGGAGTCGGATAGTCCTCAGAGGTATCCAATTAAATGCTTGGCATGTTGCCTTGAATACTTGATGGTAGGTTGTGAGTACTTTGGCGTAGTGCACTTGATGTGCATAATGGATTGGTGTCTATGGGGCTCGAGGACATGAATGCTCGGCCTATTCCGAGAATATGACCCTAACTGTCCCATCTTTGAGCATTAATGAAGCGTGAAGGGGAAGCACTTATTACGTGGCTGGATGACCATTGGCTGTCCGGCCTAGGTTTGATACTCGAGTGTCTGCCACATCATCATATTCAAAGGTATAAATACACCAATAAAACAACACAGGTATGCATGCTGAACTAGCTTTACACTGTACACTTATCCTCTCAATCTTGAGCACCGATTGACATGAGCTTCAGAGGGGATAAGCAGGGTACACTCTTGACCCTTTTCTGACATCGTTCCTTGTTTCTATTTCAAATAATTGCAGGAAAACACCCTTGCAGTCTTTATTCACACAAGGGAGCAGAATAGGATTACAAGTGTATAACCAAGCTGCTTTCTAACTGGATTAAGCCTGGGCCGCCTATGCTGATTAATACAGCTGAATCTGTATTTGTACAAGGAAGGAGAATATGATATATTTTACTGCTGGCACAAGAAACTGTAAGAAGCCACTATAGGCCTTCTGTTACACCTCGATGTTCTGTAAAGTCTCATTTACTGAAAGCTCATGACTCTCTGGTATGGGATCTTTTGCTCAATACTCTTCACCACATGAAGATTCCTCCTTAAGTTTGATTTACTGAAGGAGAGAGTTGATTTTTTGCTCTATATTCTGCACCTAATGACGATTCCTCCTTTGTTTGTCCACTGGATCCAAGAATGTTTGAATGTTGAAGGTTTTATGATAGTATGGAGGTGTTCTCCTGTGTTAATCAGCCGCAGGACTACTTTTCCTTACCATTAGAGGAGTAGTTGGACGAGAAATTCCATTTATGCTTTGTTGGTGAGTTGCATACATTCTTTTAATAGGGTTCTGCATTATGCTAGAGGCATACTGTGGATGTCTTTTCATCCTCCTTTGGTTTTATTGCTAATCAAAACTCCAAGTAATTTGTTCTTAGCTGGGGTTGATGAAGTTACTGCAAGGGATATCAAAGAGTTGTTTGGCTTTAAGCAAGCAACACTTAGTAAGCAATTTGGGAGGCCAGCCCCTCATTTCCACGTAACATCTAGTCATGATATTGTGAATCTGGTGGAATGGTCAAGTGCTCATCTGAAGAGTAGGACCAGTTCGTACCTTTCTTATGCTGGTAAAGAACATCTCAGTAAAGTTGTTCTGTTTGGCAATCAGGGGTAATGGTCATTTTTTTTTGTCCTTCCAAATAAGGATATTAAGCAATGAGGGCAACTTATAAGGGCTTTTCTATGGTCTGGCGCTGAGCTGAAGACAGCAGGTGCCAAGGTAGCCTGGGATGATGTGACAAGTCCAAAGCATGAAGGAGAATTGGGAATCAGGAATATTGAAAAGTGGAAGAAAGCAGTAATGTCTAAAAATCTCAGGTATCTGGTACAACCTGGATCTCCTTCAATGGGTTAATTGTTTTAAGGGTCTAGTTAGAGGTAGAAACCTTTGGGACATAAGAATCCCCCAAACTGTGCATTATCTTGGAGGAAAATTTTGCAACTGAAGAGATGTGGGTAGACCATTGATCAGCTATAGGAATGGTGATGGTAATGTGAAAATGCTATGGGTGTACTGGTTTGCTACTGGACCTACTATTTATAGGATGATAAGAGAGTTATAAGTGATGCTGGAACCCCTAGAAACGCTACATAGGATTGGATTGTTCAGGGGAATCAATGTTCCTGTCCTGAGGTTAGTTCTTTTAATCTGATTGAGCTTAAACAGGAAATGCCCCTATTCTGCTAGCAGTACGCAGTAGGAGAAGAAGTTGCTTTGTTACCATTTCCAACTGGAGGTTTTAGTACCCAGCCCGATGGGATTCTTTGAAAAGACACAAGCTGGAGTTTGAATGGTGTTCTGTAATCTGGTTATCCGATGGGCTTCCTTAATCTGTGTTTAGCTCTTAAACAGAGATTTAAGACTCGGGATAAGATGCTGCAGAATGATCCTATCTTTTTTTTTTTGGCTCAACGGTCATGGTTGTCTGTGCCAGTTTACACACGTCTTGACTAATTTCTTTTTTGGTCCAATTAAAAACAGGTTATCTATGTCGGAATTAGGGTATTCATGAGCAATAAATTTCTCATGATTTGATCTCAAGGAATTGTCAAAATTTAAACTCAAGATGTTTGGGTTAACAACTTGTCTTTATTATCACTTGACGTACCCTTGGGGTTGCATGGTCTTATCTTCATGGCTATCAGTGTTTTGCCTTGGTAGTATTGAATCTCATAATCATCTTTCTTTAGTTGTTCTTTTACAAGCAGAGTCTGGAGCTTGGGTATTCAGAAGGCGGGGGTTCTGTCGCAAGGTGTACCTATAGAATGGGCAATTAGAGGGAGATGGGGG